CACACACACACACACACACACACACACACACACACACACACACACACTCTCTCGCGCACGCGCACACACACACTCGCGCACGCACACACACACGCACACACACACACACACTCTCGCGCACGCACACACACACACTCGCGCACGCACACACACACGCACGCGCGCGCGTCCGCCTCTGCAGCTCTAAGGACCCAGGTCACCTCTCCTCCTCCGGCCCAGTCTCCGTGGGGAGAGGAACTCAGCGCGGAGCCCGGCACGGCCTGCCTGCGCCAGCAGCCTCCCGGGGCACTTGGAGACCACTGCCTGCTCCGGCGCACCGTCTGCACAATAACCCTTGAGCCACCGGTCTGAACCCCTCAGATCACTTGGTGTCTCTGACAGCTGGCGGCTTCCCACTTAATAATGTTGCCTGGGCTTTTGCATTCCCGCAGAGAGGATCATGGGGAACCAGGAGAAAGGGAGTGTTACACAGTGAGCTGTTCCCCCGCCCCAAGTTCCTCGAAGTCCTAAGCCCCAGGGCCTCTGAATATGACCTTATTTAGAAATAGGGTGATTGCAGATGTGATTAGTTGAGTTCATACTGGAGCAGGGGTGGCTAATCCACTCTGAGTGGCGTGCTTATGAGAAGGGGACATTTGGACACAGACTCAGAGGACAATGCTATATGACGGTGGTGGTAGAGACTGGGGGGAGGTGTCTGAACGACAAGGAACATCAAGGACTGCCAGCCACCCCCAGAAGCTGGGAGAGAGCCTGGAACAGCCCTCGGAGGGAACCAGCCCCGCTGACCCCTTGATCTCAGGCCTCCAGAGGTGAGAGCGAACAAGCTTCTGTTGTTTCAGCCTCCCAGGCTGGGGTACTTTGTTCCGCAGACCAGGAAATGGGCCCTGGGAGCCACGCGAGGGCCGCGGTGGGTGCAGGTGTGTCAGTGAGGACGCCTCCTCCCTCTGGTTGGCATCGTGGCCCAGACTCCCACATGGGAGAGGAACGGAGCGTGCCCCCCATGCAGGGTGTCAGGGGAAAGCTGTCTGAGATGCGTGCATGCTTTTAAATGATGATTTCATATTTGGAAAACAAACAAACAATTGTTTTTATAAGACGGGCCTCAGAAACAAAGCTCAACAACTCTTGGCTTTGGCAACGCTGGTGTGGCGATTCTTAACTTGGGGCGTGGATGGACACGTTGGGGTGTGGGAGCATTATTTGTGATTTGTCAGAAGTGGGCATGGGTTTTAAAAATGCGAAACCCGGCTGCAGGTCTGGCCATGTCAGGGCCGGGAAGGTTATTTTGGGCACTCAGTGGGGAGCGGGGGAACGATGTCTATTTTTGCAGAACCTGGTCTGTTTAGGGCAAAGACTGCAAACAGGAGGCCTGCAGGCCTTATTAGGCAAGAAGATGGGTTTGCTTAGCCCCATCCAGTGTTTGAGACATTTGGAATTAGTTGCCAACACTTAAAACCAAGGAAATAGCACGTCCCGATCTTGATCTTGGCGGTTCTCTAGAAAACGCGCCCGCACTGCCCAATGGTGAAGCTGCATAGAGGTTGCCCGTCTTTGTTTTGCCACAGTCCCCACCACTCCCTTTTGCCTCTCCACGGCATGAGGGGCTGGCTGATAGATTAGGACCCCAGATTCAGGGCAGCGTTTCTCTGTTTGGTTTCTGCTGCTCTGAAAAAGTCAAAGGCTTTCACTCAGGAGCCAGCTGTTCCTACCTCTGCCCTCCACTTCCAAGGCAAACTTTCCCTCTTATCTTGGGTCAAAAGACATCTTCAAATGAACAGTCGTGCATTTTGATTACGCTGAGAAGCCCCACATGAAATCCTTTGCCCTCTGCTCTGCAGGCATATATCCACGTGATAAGGCTTTGTACCTGTCTGGACTCTTTTTATACACTTGAGATTTAATTTTAAAAAACCAAAGAGCGCTACAAAACTATGTAAATAAAAGCATCTGACAGTTTGCTCTCACCCACCTAGGGTTTTTGCGTTTTGAATCAAGGTTGCACATAAACGTCACACACCCGCAGCCTGTTGGCAGGTTTGATTCCCGCTGCGTTGGAGGACAGACTAGCAGAGGTGGCAGAGCTTGGCTTCTGCAGCCCAAACAGGGCTCAGTCCAGCTCCTCATAATGACCAAAGGTCCTGGGGCCGGGTGGCTTCGCTCACCAGAAAGCTCCGTAAAGGCACACGCGCACATCACATGGAGTAAAGGGGAAGCTTCTCTGTGTCCAGAGGCGCCCTGCTGCGTCCCAGCACATTGCACCTACCGCTCTGCATCCCTGCTGGCGCCCAGTACTTGGAAGTGGTAAGTGACTCCAGGCTGACCATAGAAGAATCAATATCCCTCTCAGCCAGGGTCTGGCCCTCACACACCTCAGGGCCCAGGGTGCACCATCGTCTCCGCCTGTGTCCAGCTGCCTGGTTTTGGCAGGAGGCCCTGGGCAATCATCTCCTGGGCCCTGTTGAGAACTGCAGGTCGCCGTGCTCGGTGGAGTGAGCCTCCCGGAGGACGTGTGTGCCTCCAGAGCTGCTCACGAGGTGTGGTGCAGATCGTGTGCGCTTGACCACTGAGGCTGCCGGTGCCCCGCCCCTGCCCCGAGTACCGTGGGCCCAAGGTCCCCCTCAGTGATTCTGGGAACAGCTGTTCATCTTGCTTGCGCCTCTCTCTGGAGCCATTCCTACATCAGCACCGCTGAGGCCCCAGCAGGTGGGGTCACAGCAGCACCGGGCTCCTGGGTGGCATGAGGGAGGGCCAGGTGAGTGACAGGAACAGAGAGGCCTCAGTCGCCCCAACGTGGTGATTCTGATCATCAAGGACCCGCTCCATGGCCACATGGTTTCTTTCCTCACAGTCAGAGGTCAGGGTGACAGTCCAGTGGGGGTCAGACTCCCAGGCCCTGCTGTTGGGAGACCAGGCTCCCCTGAGTGGCTGAGGCCTTTGGGGATGTCGTTTATTTATTTTGGTTTGCTTGCAGGTTTTTGTTTCTTTTTTAAAGTCACCGAGCTGCAATCCGACCTCAAAAAAAAGTAAGCAGAGCCAACCACAGGATGCAGAAGAGCAGGTCTGCCCTGGAGCGCTCACCCTCTGCTGGGTGTGGCCCTGTGGGCTCGGCAAGGTCCAGCTGCCTCGGGACCCGCACGTCTGCGCCTGCAGAAAAGTCCCTGTGCCCAGGGTGATGCAGCTTTACGTCTCCAGCAGCGAAGGGAAGTAGGGGCCCCCAGCCCCACGTGCCCAGCCAGGTGGGCACCAGCGCCAGATGCCAAGACTGTGTGGTTGCTTTTTAATTGTCTTATTTATTTAAATATGAAAGAACATTTCACTTCTGCCCAGTTAGTCTGAAAGTTGGTCCCCTGGGGGATGACAAGAAAACAGCTGGCTTAGGGTCAGAGAGCAGCAGGACGGCTCCCCCCAGGAGCATCCTGGAGCCTGGCCTGATCCAGGGGAGACGTTGCTGGCTTCAGAAAAGCTGTGACCCCCGTGAGCCCCACCTTGTGCCCTGACGCCTCTTCTGATAAGAAGAGCAGTGGGTCTCAGAGCCACACTCCTCGTGGGGAGGGGAAGGTGGGAGCCAGGAGAGTCCTGGCCCTCCGGACTCTGCCCTGGCGCCTCAGCTGCCCTGCAAAGCCCTCTGAACGGGGCGACATCAGCCTGGGCAGAAAATTAACAGCCCCCACCCCCCAAGAAAACCAGTACTGGGCCCTCATGGGGCCCAGCTCCTGCAGCGGAGGTGAGGAAAAGCCACCCTCAAAGGGACTCCTGGTCACAGCTCACTGCGTGTCGCCTTGGCCACGATCACCAGCTTGGACAGCTCAGCCTTGAAGGCCCCGGGCCTGTGGGACACTGCAAAAGAAGAAACCCTCGGTCAGCCCTCGCCTCTGCAAATCCTCCGGGTCCTGAGCCGGGTGCGGGCAACGATTGGAGCAGTCTCCGAGTGGACTCCACAGGGAAAGGCCCCTGGCCCTGTATGTCTTACAGGTGAGGGATAGGAGAAAGGCGGGGAGGCTGTGGGCCTGTCCTGAGGGCAGTGGGAGGCCATGGGAGATGTCGACGTGGGAAGAGCCGTGGTCATTTTTGCCACACTGAGAATGGCTGGGGTTTGGAGGTTTGCACTGGCAAACGTGTCTGATGCTCTTCGGGCAGGGTCAGGGAACCTGGCCGCCCCCTGCTCTGCACACCCAGCCTGCCCCCCACTCCCTGTCCATCCTCACCATCTATGCTCCCTGGAGCTCAGGGTCTGCAGCAACCCAATCCCCTCTGTCCTTGATCTCCACTCTAAACGGGCCCCTGCCCCCACCCGGAGGACCTGCGGGCAGGTTGGGCCGCCTTCCAGGCCCTCCTAAAAGCCCCGCTCGTGCCACCCACTCCCCTCCCCTCCCCTCTGGTGCCTGGTGACGTCCACGGCCACATGGGTTGCTCATCTCATCTCTCCCCCGTCCTTCAGGACCCTCTGGGCCCCCCGACTCGGCTCAGCCCCGTGTTCACTGTCTCACCCACTCAGCCCCCCTTGCTCTCGCACCCTGAGCCCCAACTCAGGTGCCTACCGCCCCTCTTTCTGCTCGGCATCTGGCCTGCATGGCTACAGCTGAATGGGGTCAGAGGCCACGGGGGTCTCGGGGCCCCAGGAGGTGACCCCCGCCTCCCGTGTCATGCATGCACAAGGTCCCGACTGCGCTGCTGGAAGCTGTCACGGAGCCCAGGACGGCCAGGCTGTGTAGGCGTCAGACCCCGCGGCCCCCTGCTCCCTGGCCTCCTATGGAGCTGAGTGTCGCTGAGTGTCCCAGGACGCAGCTCTCTGAGGACAGACTCTCATGCTCTCCGTTCTCTGCTAGGGATTGGGCAAGTGTGCCTGCCGCCCGTGGGCGAAGGGTGGTTTCTACACTTTCAAATAGTTTAAGGAAAATCAAAGGAAAAATGGCGTCCTGCGATATGACATTCACAGTTCAGTGTTCACGAAATAAAGTTTTATTAGAAGGCAGCCACCCCC